TGATAAAATATTTCATTGCAATTTTTTTGGGTTAATTAAGAAAAATACTATTACATTTTATATTAATTGATGAGTAATAATTATACTTTTTATTGTATCATATAATAGTTATTATTAAAATTGATAATTATATTGTACATAAATGTTATATGGAAGTTACATAAACATAACAAATTATATTTTCAAGTTATTTATTTTATAATCAATATTATATTTCTTTTATTTAATTAAGTGATTATTTTTAAATAAATTAATTTAATTTAATGATATAGTAGAATTCTTTAAAATCGCATAAGCAATTGTTGTAATAAATTTAATATTTTTCAGCTAATTAATTGGTCATGATCCCTCATAATTACAAACAAATTACAATATTTATTAGATTTATATAGTGATTTATATGTAATCAAATCGTTACGTACTATTTATTTTAACCAATGATCATTTTTAAAACATAATATCATTATCTAACTTATAATTTCAATATTAAGTGCATTTAAATAATTTATAATATTTTATTTATATTTGTTCAAATGCACAAAGTCGAACACTAGTAATAGAATAGATAGAGATATATATAGATATGGATAACCATATCTTTGTGGACCATGAAATCTGAACGGACATCACAATTTCCTCTGCAGAGTTCTGTAATGCGCTAAAATTGAAGTTGAGTGCGTGATAGAAATGATTGTTATACATGGATATATGAATATATCTTTTTTAGATATTACAAACTTCAAATTAAACAAACGGTACCGCGCGCATAAATGCATGATAAAGAGTGATGATAACAAGAGCTGGTCAATTACCAGTTATGACAATGACAACAGGCGACACCACCCGCCGCTTCTCGTCCGACCAAACTATCTTTCCCTCCACACTAATATCATGTGCCGGTAATTGTTTTACGTTTGAAGTCACAGTCACATTGTAACTTTGCTTGTCACCCTTGCTATTAAAATCCATTTTCACCGGATTTACCGTCAGACTCACCCCTTTTGGATTGGTCACGGTGACGGTGTAACTAGAATAATCTTCACCAACATTTGTCACCGTCCTTTTAACCGTGATATCACCATCTAATAATGACTGTGAATCAACAGAGATGGCTGGATAATTCAAATCCCACGGCATCGTATTTCCAGTGCAATTGGTTTCCCCGTATTTTCCATTGGTTATAGTTTGGATGGTCGCATTTGTATATTTTGAGGCGCACAGGAAATCCACATAATCTTGCGGGGTGATATCGTAGACTAATCCTGGATCACGGGCTTTATCCGTGTCAATGTGACCTGCGCCCATATCCAAGGTTGTAGACAAAGTGAGATCATCATTATTAAGTATGGGTTTGCCATCATTGGCTGTGTTATAAGCCGTGGTCATGATGGCGGAGCGGATCATGGCTGGGGACCACTTTGGGTGGATAGCCTTCAAGAGAGCAGCGAGGCCGGACACGTGCGGGCAGGCCATGGATGTGCCCGATTGCAGTTTGAACTGGTCGACGCCCTCTGGCCATGCCGCTAGGATGTTGACACCTGGCGCCAACACGTCGGGCTTCATAACATATGGCGAAATGTTATTAGGGCCTCTGGAGGAGAAAAAAGCTACTGCTGGAGCTGGCAGCTGGTCAGTCACGATTTCCATGCCGCGGAATATCATCGTGGCATTTGTTATCGTGCCATTTATGAGATGATGACGGAGCTCGTTTCCGTCGAACTCGGTTATGGAGAGGCCAGGGATCTTGAAGTCTTGGGCAATGAGTTCTCGGCCATTCGGGTACATGTAGGCTGCCACCACGCCAGCACCTCCGGCATTTGCCACATTCTCCACTAGCTCTGCGACATCGATGTCTCCCCACGTGTCGCAGAACACAATCTTTCCGGAAAAGCTGTTATCCAACATCATACAGTTCCTTCCATATGCCAGGGGTAGAGGCTTTGTGGGTTCCCCACCGTAAAGCGAAGCCCCGTGGAACGTCCCCTGCTGAGTAGTAGCAAGATAAGCCGTGAACCCTCGGTCCATTGTGCCGGCGGCGACGGTCGTCACCCATGGGGCAACATTCGTCACTGTGCGTTCAGAAGGGCCGCTGTTCCCGGCAGATGTAATGACCGAAACACCCCGGTACATGGCACCAAACGCCCCGATCGCGATGGGATCTTCCTCATACGGATCGCTAGTATCAGATCCGATGGACATGGAGATTATGTCGACCCCATCCTCCACCGCTTTGTCTAAACCGGCGAGAACGTGGGAAACCGTGCAGCCCGACACGTTGCATACTTGGTAGGATGCAATTCGTGCCTTGGCCGCAACTCCGACGGCCGTGCTGTTTCCATTTTTGGCATAAGCCACGTTCTCGACGGCCCTTCCTGCAGCCGTGGACGCCGTGTGCGTGCCGTGCCCGAAGTCCGTTCCATCGGTATAGATCCTAGCGCCAATGAGTTTGTTGTTGCACTCAATCCCATTCTCACACCCCCCTTTCCATTTCTTTTGGGTTGGGAGGCGACCAAGGCCCTCGTCGTTGAAGCTAGGGTGCTCGGGATCTATACCGATGTCGAGGAATCCGATGATGACGTTCGAGCCGTAATCGGATTCATTCGTCACTGGCGAACCAATGGTAAAGTTATAATCGAGGTATAAGCCTAGGAAATAAGGAGACCGGGTCGTGTGTAAGTTGTAAACGCGGTCGGGTAAAACAGAAACGACCCACGGCCGCTCCTTAAGCTGTTGGGCTTGCCGCGGGGTCAGTTTAGCGGAGAAGCCATGGAAAACTGTGTTGTAAACATGAAGTATTTTTGATGAGTACTTTGAGGATTTTGAATAAGGATTATTATTGTAATTAGAGTCTTCCAGGCTTTCAAGGGTGGACTCATACCAGTGTTGGACCTCTGCAAGCTCTGCCGGTTTCATGATATTATTGACACTAACAATGTATGTACTAACATCTTCGTCATCATCAGCATGAACAAATAATGCGGACGACAGAGAAAGAAAGAGAACAACAAGACCAAGAATATGACCCATTTTTATTTTATTTTTTTATTTTTTTCAAAGAGCTAGACTACTAATTAATTAGAGACTGACTGCAAAGGAATTAACGTGATGTATATGTTCTCTTCTTAACTCAAGTTTATATAGAGAATATAGTATGTAAAGTGCAGGTCACAGAAAAAATTGCTCTCGGCGTGGTGATTGAGATTGCAAATTTTTCTATTTTTACCATGTGTTGAAAGCAACGCGTATGTTGACTTCTTAGAGCATCCGCATCGCATTCATTTTATTTTCCGTTTAAGCGCCCCCAATTGTTTGAACGGACTTATCCGCATTGCAAATATTGAATGCCCCAGCATTGCCTTT